CGAGCGGCCGCTCCTTTGCGCGCGCCTCCGGCACCGAGAACGCCTGCCGCGTCTACGCCGAGGCTGCATCTCGCTCCGAGGCCGACGAGCTTGCCGCTCGCGTCGCCGAGTACGTCACCCAGTACGGTTCGTAGAGCGTCCGCAGCAAGAGGTGCCTGGGTGGGCAGCAGCAGCAGCAGGCAAACGCCACGCTCAGCCTTGACGACGTGACAGACTTGATCTGGGACAGCCCGCTGCTGCTCTGAGCCACTTGGTTTCTTTTTTTTTGTGTGTGTGAATCAAAAAGTTTTTTTCTTTTAACTCCGAGAAGCATTCATTATCCCACCCCCTTTGAACTATGGAGAGGAGCAAAACGGGCGAGGCAGACCACAGGCAGGGGAGCTAGCCGGATGTTCTTTCCCACTTCTCGTCATGACCCCTTCACGACAAATGTCATTCGTTCCCTTGGTGACACGGAAAAATGAAAACCTTGGATACATGACCGCCTCCAGGGACGAGTATAGACAGAAAGCAACGCAGGTGGTCATCGTGTTTCCGTCTTCTTCTCCTCTCGTCGTGTGGGTGATTCGTGTCATTGCTGAGGGGGTACAGTGTCGTCCCAAATTCATCCGAACCCTCCGAACTACACATGACCGATCCGTGGATGGTCCAGCTGTCATGCTGAGGAGATTTGGAGTGTGAGGGGGGGAGGGGGCCAGGAGCAGTCCGATTGACTAGACAAAGTTCACCCCAGGTCCTCGGGCCACTACTCACAACATACAAATCTCATCACGCCAACTCACCCGATTGAACACAACCTCATTACCAGGCCAGGTGCCGCGAAGGGCACGGCCAGCCAGCTACGTACATGTTCTGCCCTGCCCAGCTAGCCAGCATAGAATATATACAAAGACTCGCCAGGATGATGCAGCGAAAAGAAAACGGGGAGAACAAATTGGCAGAGCCAATCAGCCATGCAAGAAAGCCAAATCCCATCCAAACTCCACCGCCCCAATCTGCACACTACTCCTGAAACACGCCCCCCGTGTCGCACCGCGGTGCGGCAGATATACAAGCTGAGTAGACGTCGGCTTTATGCAGAACGGGAACAGAGTACGTCGTCTAAGCCTCTGAATCCCATAAAAGCAAAACTCCAGAGTGTGTTCCAATGCCGATATATGCGCTTCGCTTTGTAAAATGAAAGACACACGACCGCAACCTGTCGGTTCAGATTGCGGCGCCTCACGCGTTCCCGCTTAGCGTCCTGAACCGGTCCTCGGAACGACTTCACCCTCTCCTCTTTCAAAATGCGCTGGAGCTTTCTCGTCTCCCGGACCGCCGCCTCGCGTTCCTCCTGCAGGTTCAGAACCTCGATCTGATTCCGCTCATCCGCGCATGACATCCTGCATCTCCGTATCGGCCTCTGACAGCGTGCGCTCCAGCTCCGTGACTCTGGAGCGGAGCTTGTCGACCTGGACCTCGTCCTCGATGGACATCTTGGGCAGCGGCGAGCGCGGCGGACGCGAGAACATGGGCGACGCCACAGGACTGAGCATCTTGCGAGGCGATCGGCCGCCGCTACTGGCCGGAGAGGGAAGAGCCCGGCGAAGCTGAATGTTGTGCGCCTCCTTGATCTCCTTGATCTGCTCCTCGTGGCGCGCGACCCGGTCCTCTGACGCGCTCTGCGCCGCAGAGACCTCCTCTTCTAGCATGCGAAGGCGGCCTTGTAAGCTAGCGATGCGCTCGACATTAGCCTGGCGATCGATATCGCCTCGCGCCACCGTATCAGCGAGACGCTGTCGAAGGCTGGCGTTCGCAGCCAATTGTTGTCGGACCTGAGTGGCAAGCTCTTCAACACGACGGGCCGAATCGCGAAGCTCGTCGGCGAGCACACGTTCGCTTTCAATATGCTTGGCCTCGCTCTCATGGAGACTGTCGGCTTGCGTCTTGTTGTCCGACGCCTCCTGGCGAGCCGCATCGCGCTCCATGATGGCGGCCGACAGGGAGTGTTGCAGCTTCTCCAAAGCCAATTGCGTCCTCTCATCGGAAACAATCGCCCCACCTTGTTCTTCCAGCTCCTTGATCCTATTCAAGGCCTCTTGGTATGCAGCCTGAAGGTCTTTGAACGCTGCCTCGAGCGACTCGGACGTCACGGGATAAGCATCCGAGTTGCTACCGCTGCTGGAGCGCGCCATCGAGGGCGGGATCAAGATGTCCTTCTCGTCCAGGAGAGCGCGAAGCGAGGCAATCTCCCCTTCGGCTCGGTCTAGGTCCATCTTAAGACTGACCAGACCCTTCTCCACCTGAAACTTGTCGTTCACGGCATCCTCTGCGCGGCGCCGCAGCACCTTGATCTCGTTTTGCAGATCAGAGACGTCTTTGGCGAAGCCGCCTCGCCTGGGCGAATCCGAGAGAAGACGTTCGCGTTCCGTTTCGAGGACCCTGATCTTTTTCTCATTTTCGCGGTTCTGGAATTCCTGACGGTCAAGAAGATTCTTGAGCGCGCTATGAAGGGCGTCCCTTTGCGCCTCCACGTCCTTCAGCCGTTCTGACAGTGCCTCGCGGGACTCAATACCACCCTTGACAGTATTGGATCGCGTCAAGCCGGTCGGGGCTCTCTGCAGCTTGAACGATCCTGCGGTAACCGAGTTGGACCTAGACAACGCAACGGACGACCGCGTGGAGCGTGTGGGGGGTTCCTCGACAGAAGCCTGCTTGATGGTGCGAAGATTCTGGTTCTCGCTCTTCAAGGCGTGGAGTTCCTGTTGCAACTTGCTCGACTCGTATGTGAGGTTGTCGTACTCGGAGGCCTCAGCCTCAAGACCCTCAACACGCGCCCGGAGCTGGGGTACGACCTCGTCACGAAGGTTGTCGCGCTCATTTGATGCGCTCTGCAGCTCGCCTCGTAGAGCAGCAAGCAGGTCCTCAAAGTTATCTTTGACCTTCTTCTCCTCAGAGAGCCTTCGGCGGAGATCCTCGCACGTGGCTTCGAGTTCCTTCACCCGTCCATTGGCATCAACGTTGTTCATCTGAGCGAGATCGATCTGGGAAGCTCTGTCGGCGAGCTCCTTAATTTGTTGGTCGAGGGCTTTCCTCCTCAGACGTTCTTCTTGCACCTTCGTGGTCAGTTCGAGTCGGATAGACGCCTTCTCTTGCTCCGACCTCCTCTGCACCTTTTCTACTTCTTCTTTATTTTGGTCATATTCACTGAAATTTGGTGGAGCTGACACCCGAGTCGGAGAGTAATCACTTGTCCTTTTGCCCGGGGCCTGCGGGTTGCTGATCTCGGACTGTAACCTGTCCACAAG